AAACGGAGAATGGTGCTTCTAGAAGAGTACCTAGACACCCGGTGCAGTGGCCTAGGCAGAAGAGTGGGTTGGCAGGCCCTGTTGTTCAGTATGTGCCTGTGTGGGTGAAAACACGACGGGTTAAAGGTGATGCCCAGGTTTCTGGCTCAGACAACGCGGGTCCATTCACCGACAGAGTGAGGTCCCAGGAAGAGGGAGGAGCGGGTTTGCAGTGCAGATCGTGGGTTCAGATGGAGACATGATGAGCTTTGTTGAGACTGGATCTGGGGTTCATAGCAGAGGCCCAAACTGGAGAGACAGATTTGACCTAAGAATGAAGTGTGCTGACCAGAGTTGGATGTTCGTGTGGGCAGAGTGGGCAGTGGGTGAGAACCCCTGTCTCTGGCCTGGGCAGAAGAGAAGGCATGCCCACACGGAGGAGCAAGAAGGAGCCGTCGGAGAAACAGGGGCTCCCCATTTTGATGGGAGGAAGCCATTGGCTCTTGAATGTATTGGGAAGAACATAGAGCACAGTTTATTACTCACGTTAGAGATGCATGTTTTTCCCCATTATGATACAGGCCTTTAACATGTGCATTGATACTTTCTCCTTGCAGATTGTACTAGCTCTCTGTCATCGGAGATTCTACTCTCCAGGCCCTTCTTAACTCATACAGTTCTTAAAAACGCATGCATCCACTGTTTTCCCTTCCAGTAGTTGCTCGGTGTTTCTGGAAGGCGTTAGGGCCTGTGAAAAGCAGAAGGAAGGGCCCTTACAATGTGTGCCCCAAGAATGTTCTCCCGACAGCCCCGTCTTGGTGAAACTAAGGAATTTTTATGCTCCCCTTGTGCCTATCCCATTTGGACGTGACCTTCCATCCAGTTGGGTTGATGTCAACCCTGGGCCCTCGCACTCTCCCCAGATGGATTTCTTCCTCCTCCTCTGTGTGGTGTGGTCTGCGTGATGCCAGGCAGAGCTGTGCTGCTCGTGATGCCAGGCAGAGCTGAGCTGTCCGAGTGTGCCCTGCACACCTGGGAGGAGGCGCTGTCAGTTGGTTCCATGTTAAAGGTGAGGAAACCCATAGCCCGAGAGGAGGCGTGGCTTGTCTGACCCTAAGTCTGTGCTTTACCTCAGGGTTCCCCCAGGGGCCCGCTGTCTCCATCCATTCAGTCTGCTCTCCCAAACCCTGTAGCCTGAAGGGCTTAAACAGCATTTTATTGCTCACAGTCTGGAGGCTGGGGAGTCCAAGATCATGGCATCAGCAGCAGGTTTGGCTTCTGGTGAGAACTTTCTCTCTGTTCAAACACAACATCTTCTCACTGTGTCCTCACATGGCGGAAGGGGCGAGGGAGCTCTGTGGGGTCTCTCTCATTAGGGCACTAATCCCATTCATGGCACTAATCGCCACCTTCATGACCTCATGACCTCCCGAAGGCCCACCTCCTCACACCGTCCTGTCAGGGGTTAGGATTTCAATATCCGAGTTCTAGGGGACGCACATTCAGACCATAGCGTCTGCTCATTAGAATCACTAGGGAAGCTTTGGAACATGACAGAGTCCCAGGTCCCAGATGGCTAATGCACCCGCCAGCAGCGGCTGGTTGTATGTGGAAAGCATTGCCCCTTTCCACACCAGATCTTGGATATGTCCGTGGGAAAGTAACAACGAGTACCGAGGATCTAGTTCCGGGGTTGGCAAAGTGCTTTTTTGTAAAGGGCCAGAAAACGAATATTTTCAGTTTCGCAGGCCGTATGCCGTCTGTTGGAACCACTCGGTCCTGCCGTTGTATTTCAGAAGCGGCTATAAACAAGAGGTGAACAAACGGATGGGTCAGATTTGGCTCGTGGGCCGGAGCCGACCTCTCCTGATCTAGGTAGTTCACCTTGTGCATGACGGTCAGACAAGCAGTTGAACTTGGCACTCTCCAGCGGAGTCTTGGATTTGGGCAACAGTACGCTAGAGGCAGATAGAGTCCATTCGAGATGGGGCAGGCTGGAGCTGCGTTCAGCCGCCAGGACAAAGAGCTCTAAAACAGGAAGCTGGAATAAATTCAAGAGGAGTAACTCTCCTTTGTTAAAAAAAATTTTTGAGTAGATAGTCTAGTAATTGGTGTGGTGGTTCCATAACGACATCAGAGACCCACAGTCCCTTCTGTCTTTTTCCATGACCGAGATGATCTCGTGATCACAAAATGTCTGTGGGAGCTCCAGTCGTCACATTTGTGAGAAAGAAATGAGAGAGGGAGAAAGGTGCTATTAGCTAAGTCCGATCTCTCCTAAGGGCCTGCTTGGAAGACCCAGTGATTTTTGCTTCCATCTCACTAGTGCTCTCACCTGTGAAGCAGACAGGAAAAGGTAGTTAAGTTTTTGTCTGTTTGGTTTTTTTTAAAGATTTCATTTATTTATTTATTTGACAGAGAGAGACACATCAAGAGAAGGAACAAAAGGAGGGGGAGTGGGAGAGAGAAGCAGGCTCCCCGCTGAGCAGGGAGCCCGATGCGGGGCTCGATCCCAGGACCCTGGGATCCTGACTCGATCCCAGGACCCTGGGATCCTGACCCGAGCTGAAGGCAGACGCCTAACAGCTGACCTGAGCCGAAGGCAGATGCCTAACAGCTGAACCACCCAGGTGCCCCTGTTTTGGGTTTTGTTGTTTGTTGTTGTTGTTGTTGTTCCTGAACACATAGCTATACCCAGAGGTGCTGAGGGAAGATGGAGACCGGCTGGGCAGCTAGTCCTTGATGTGTCCCAGGAGAACCCAAAGAATACCCCAGGTGTGTGCAGGAAAGTCCCCTGAGCCCCACTGGGTTTATTTGCCAACTGATCTGCCGTGTCTCTGTTTATAGAGATTGTGAATGCCTGAAGTCCCTTTTCCCCACAACTAGCCAGGCCTTTCCAGATGCTTCTGGAGTCTTACAAATCATACACTTACTTAATCCGGATAACAGTCCCATCCGTCATCATACCACGGCTTGGACACCCCGTGCCAAGAAGCTTTTTGAGCTCAACCTTTTCTTCTCAGCAGCTTTTCCCCTTTGAAATCTGTCTTCTTCTCCTTTGTATCTGCCGGGAGTCTGCCTCCTCGGGTCATTCAGAACGCATCACGGTGGTCTAACCTCTGAGATCTCTGCCCCCTGCACCCTGGGGCTCAGATGGTGAACCTTCACTGCCTGAGTTATGCTTTGGCCGCAGATCTGCTCGGACTTACTGGGAACCACTTGGTTCTGGCTCTGAGCCGTGCGTCTGGGTAAAGCCTGAGAGGCTGCCTTCCTGGGATGCCGATGCTGCTGGCCCGTGGACGGCCCTTGGAGTATCTCGTGATATAGGTCTTTCTGAATGTATTTCCATTCATGTTTTAGTAGGTGGCAGCTGAAACCTAAGCAAGTTGGTATGGTCGATGTAGAATAGAGCAAGATTTTCAGCGCATTTATCCCAGCAGTTATCCTGTACCTTTCAACGAGGTCTAAAGATTACTAGGCCTTGTTGGTGCTCTCCCACGTTATTTCCTTAGCTCGGATTTACTAAAGTCTGTAAGTCTTTGTCCCCCAGGCCTCCCCTGTGCCATATTTCCCCAGCTTTTACTTACGGTGTTGGTTTTTCAGATTCTCTGGTAAAACCTGACCCTCCTTTTTTTAAATGTCATCGGGATGGATTAGATTCATCCCTCAAGACAAGTGGGATCGCTTGGTGTCTGTCATCCAGCGTATGTATTGTCTCTCTCAGCTTGGAGGCTTCCGACTGACTTGACAGGCCTCTGTTTCTCTATCTCATTCCCCTGGAAACTTCCCATCCATTCACTGGAGCTCTTCATCCTTCCTCTTGTTGACAAGAGTATTACAGGAGACCGTGATGGTCATCTTGCCGAAGCTCAGATACGTGACGTCTGCATCTGGGAATACTGGATGGTTTTCTTGTAGAGGCAGAACTCCCACTCACATCACAGACGCTTATTTTTATTACGCTGGAGGCTTTTAGGATGGGTGTCGGCATTTACCGATCGCAGATTGCAATAGCTGTTTATCAGGGGAACCTCACTCTCTGGGATATTCTTGTGTAATTTTCTACAATGCATCGATCTCTCTCCCACTTCCGTTTTCCCTTGCGATACAATTGCTGTGTGTCCCTGGAGGGTGTTAGGGCCTGTGAAAAGCTGAAGAAACAGCCCTTACAGTGTGTACCCCCAAAGAATGGTCTCTCGAGAGTCCCATCTCGATTGAAACTGGGGAAATTTTATGCCCCCCCGGTGCCTATTCCTATCCAGACGTGACCGTCCATCCAGTTGGGCTGATGTCGACCCTGGCCCCTCCCTCCCTCCCCAGATTGATTTCCTCTTCCTCTGTGTGATGGTCTGTGTGGTGCTAGGCAGAGCCAAGCTGCTTGTGTGTCCGAACGTTCCTGGGAAGAAGATGCTGTTAATCAGCTCCATCTTAAAGATGAGGAAATGCGTAGCCTGAGAGGAGGCAGACTCTGTCACCTCTGCTCTGAGAGGAGCAGTCTGTCACCGCTGCAATGGGCATGTGACGGAAGTGTGAGGACCGTCTCTGAGATCAGCTGGACGGCTGATCTCTGCGGATCCTGGGAAGTGGCACACACTGTGCTCTTCCCGTCACCTGCCTGATTTTTTTTTTTTCATGTACCTCTTTGTTGACTCAGTACCCCTGAGGCCCTTCTCTGCTAGGCACTGGGCGTCTGGCGGCTTCGGAAGTGGATGCCGCCCCTTCCTCTTCTGTGGGTGGAGCATGACCCAAATCCCACGCCTTTGTAATGAGGGTTTCTTTAAAAAAAAAAAAAAAAAAAAAGATTTATTTTAGAGAGGTTGGGGCAGAGGGAGAAAGAGAATCCCGAGCAAACTCTATGCTGAGTGCAGAGCCCGGCACGGGGCTTGATCCCACCACCCCGAGATCAGGACCTGAGCCAAAATCAAGAGTTGGATGCCCAACTGACTGAGTCACCCAGGCGCCCCTGTGATGGGAGCTTTGAGAGAGATTTACATTTTCTCTCTCTTTCCCTTTCTTGCCAGGTCTACATCCGGATAAAAGACGACGAGTGGAATGTCTACCGGCGGTACACAGAGTTCAGGAGTTTGCACCACAAGTTACAGAACAAGTACCCGCAAGTGAGGGGCTACAACTTCCCACCCAAAAAGGCCATTGGAAACAAGGTACTGTCACCACGGGGAAACGGGGCAGCTCCCGCACCAGGGCCCGATTTACACACACATGCTTCTGTAGACCTGTGACTCAGAAGTTGGCTAACACAAGAAAAAATAGGGACAAAGAAAACAGTCATAATTCCGTCACTCAAAGACAAGCAGTTGTGTTTTGTTTGGGCGTGTCCTCTTAATTCTCTAGGGTGGGGGTCGCCAAGCGTGTCCTGTTAAAGGGCCAGAGAGGAGTTACTTTTGGCTGTTTCATGGACCATACCTCCTTAGCTGAAAATACCCGGCTGTGCCCTTAGAGTGTAGAAGCAGCCACGGACGGTGTGGGCGCAGGTGTGCGTGGCTGTGTGCCAATAAAACTTTATTCGTAAGAATAGGTGGCGGCTCGATTGGGCTGATGTTTCATGGTTTGCTGACCCCTGTTCTGGACCAAGGAGGTATTTTCCGGTTTTTGTCTGTAAGTTGTCCTGATGCTTATCTGGACTCACGAATGTGGGGTTATTTCCCAATAAAGCTTTCTCAGAGGACCTTATTTTCGATACACGGTTACTTCCCTTAGGAAGGTGAAGAATTGATGGTGGCGTAATTTGTTTCCAGGGAGTCCCGCAGGCACCTGGAGAAGGGAGGTGCTAGCCCTCTCCCAGGGGTTGATGAGTGCTCGTTCCTCCAGAATGTGTTTGGCAGCTTTCTGTATCACGGTACCGAGCGCTGGAGCCCAGGGCCCTGGAGGACAGGCCTGGGCCTGGTGTGGAGACTCACTGTGTGCACAAGCCCGTGGGCATCATTTTGTCATCCCTCACAGTTACCCTCTTGGCCGCGCTAGGAATCATGTGGGACGCTTTAAAAGCTTCTGAGATCTGTAGTCCCCCCATTGCTGTTAGGATTTAAGGTCTGCAGTGAGGCAGGGGCCCTGAGGAGTCGCAGACGTCTCTGGGGGTTCCAGCATGCACCCCAGCTGGAGAACCCCTGGCTTTGAGCCTGGGACCAGGCGGTGACAGGTGCATAATTCCACTATGTTAATGAGCTCAGCAGGGACAGTTTGGCCAGAGGAGGTAAGGTCTTGACCCTGCCGAGGACCGGTGAGAAGCTGGGCCTTGTCGTAAGGGAAATCTCTGTACTACCGCGCTTCGCAGAGTGTGGGCCCTGACCAGCAGTAGCAGCGGCATTAGAAATGCTGATTTCCAGGCCCTGCTCCAGACCTACTGAAATACAAGCTCTGGGGCTAGTGGCCCAGGAATCCAGGTTTCAATGTGTGGTGCTGGTGCCCGAGCAAGCATGAGGGTCAGGGTGCTCCCACGTTGATGGAGCTGTGTGGCCTCTTCCATATGTGATGCATTTCCTAGATTCTCGAAAGAGGCACCTTGCTACAGTCTCCTTGGATCTTTATTGCCGAAAACCAGACCATGAGTTTCCATAACCGCTCCCAACACTTGGCAGTTCCCCAGGGAAAACTCTCACTGACTGTTCTGTTTCCATGTTCGTGGATTTCTGGGCTCAAACCAGATTAGAAACCTGATCGTGTCAGGGTCTGCTAGATCTTAATTTCAACAGTTAGAAAGCGGGTTTATCTGAGGCCTAGAATAAATGTGTCCTGCCATTTTGTTTCCTGCAGATAAGTAGAGTTCGGCCCATAAAAACAGACGACTAGGGACGCCTGGGTGGCTCAGTTGGTTAAGCAGCTGCCTTCGGCTCAGGTCATGATCCCAGCGTCCTGGGATCGAGTCCCACATCGGGCTCCTTGTTCTGTGGGGAGCCTGCTTCTCCCTCTGCCTCTGCCTGCCACTCTGTCTGCCTGTGCTCGCTCTCTCTCTCTCTGACAAATAAATAAAATTAAAAAGCGAAAAAAAAAAAAAACAGACGACTAAGAAATTCTACACTTGTTCATAGTAAGAAAGACAATAATTCTTATGAAAAGAGGGGAAAAATTTTTACTGATTTAATCTAATGACTTGCGAGCTCATACAAATCTTGGGACCCATCCAGAATGTCTTAAAATGTCATAAAACAAAACTCTGCCTAAGCAACTTATTATCGTTATAAGATGCTCTCATTTTCAGAAAGCATTATACTGAAGCAGCCTTTCCGTGACACCTTCTCTGGGGAACACGGCCTGTCTCCATCTTACTAAAGGAGGTAGCACAGAGCTGAGCTGGGAATATTCTGGTGGTGAGACCTCTTTGTTTTTGCCTCTAGTGGCTGCCGTACAGCAGTGGCAGCTACCGAGTGGCCTAAAACTCAACTTTTTTTATCTTAACCATTCGTGGAGGTTGGAAGTCGAGAATCCGTCTCACTGGGCTGAAACTCGCAGGGTGTTGGGAAGGGCCTCCTTCTTTCTGGAGCCTCCAGAGGGGAATCCTTTCCTCTTGAGCTTCTAGAGGCTGCCCTCATTCGTTAGCTTGTGGCCTCCTGTGCCTTCCAAGCCAACAACCACGTGACTCTGACCTCGCCTTCTGTCACAGAGGCCCCTCTCCTTGTGTGACCCCTCTCCCTCTTCTTAGGACCCTGGCGATGACAGTGGGCCCACTGAGATAAGCCCCAGTAACCTGCTAGCTCAGGATCCTTAACACATCCGCAGAGTCCCTTTGGACACGTGAGGTGAAATACTGTCAGGTTCTGGCCTTAGGTGCCTTTGGTGGCCACACATTGCCACGTGCTCTCTCTGCAGAACAAAGCAACTCCCTCCCCACCTGGGATGTCGAGGCAAGCCGTAGAGTTACTGCAGACTTACTGAAGACAGACCTCCCCACCACCACCATCCGAGAGCAGGGACTGCGCTGACTTTCCCCTCTGGGGTGGACCGTCCCCAGCCCTGCTTCACCTTCTCCCATCCTTGTCAGTCCTGGGACTGACTCTCAGCAGCAGTGGGCCTTTGCCCTGTGAAATCCATGTCAAAAGGGCACTGTGTTCCCCCCTGCCCCTGCCCCCGCCCGCCCCATACCCTGTTTGTGGATATGGGAGCTTGGGAATCAAAGATACGGACTTGGTGGGCGTGGCCCAGTGATGGCCGCCTTGTACAGGTGCGCCGGCTAGCTGGTTCCTTACCAGATTGGGTCCTGCTCCCCATGGTCAGGGGTGGACCTGATGGTTTCCTCTGTGGCTCAGGGACCCGACAGCTCATGAGCAGTCCTGGGGCCTCTGCCTCTTGTCTAGCCTGCGCGGCCATTTGCCTTTGAATTGGCTGCTTGGCGATGACTGTGCTTTGATGCCTTCTTTCCCTGCGCATTTGGCTGACTGAGACGTACCCGTTTCCCTTAAGTGCACTTTGGCTGCTGCCCAGGACAGATCTGAGGGTTTATCTGATTTTCAAGGGCAGATTAGTCAGCATGCAGGACTGCAACATCCAGGAAGGGCTCCTGATGAGGTCTGTTCAGAGTCAAAGCCCACACTGGCCCCAGCTGAGCCTATGGTCTCAAGGTACCTGCCTTGATAGCCCGAGGGCATGTTTTCTAGCGAGTTTTCATTCTAAATCGATCCAAAAAAGTCAACCATGTCCGCATCTTTTCCTTGACTGGGTCACTTCAAGAATGTCTCACGTGCCACTTGTACCATTAACATACACGACATGACTTCTTTGTATGGATTGAGTTATATCCATACAGAGTTACAACCTTGCTACTATAAACCTTGGACCCATTAAGTGATTCAATCCAGACTCCACAGAGCTGGACAGTATTCAAGGAAATACGAAGCAGAGTTTAGTTTTTTCATGTTTGCCATGTGAGTATCTTTCTAACCTGAATTTCTAGGTATTTCCCTAACACTGCCACCATGGTACTGTTCAGCTCTCGTGACTCCCACAGGGATGGCACGCGTCTTGAGCCACATTTCTGAGTGGGGTGGGGATAATAGGAGGGGAGAGTTATACCAGTTCAAGACCAGTATGCCAGGTCCTGTGGGTCTCCTTTCTCAGAGTCCCAGTTCAGGTGCTCCCCACCATCCCAACGCCAGCCTGGTCCTTCCTGGTGTGGGCATCCGCACCTTTCTGCTCTTGCCTGCCTACCCCTCCACTCCCACGCGGTGGCCACAGTGAGGTTTGTGTGACATAGACATGGTTAAAACCCGGCAGCTGCAGCCGTGGCGGTCAAGAGTCTTCGTGACCTTGGAGATGTCCCTGGGTCTGTCCCACACTTCTCTCCTACTTTATCTCCTGCCCCGCCTTCCTCCTGTGCACCCAGTCACACCGACCCCCTGAGACTTCCATGCTCTTCTCACTCTCTGGCCTTTGCACCTGCTCTTCTCCCTGCTGGACTGGCTTCTCCCCCATCTCTGCATGGACGGCCCCTTTGGTTCATTAGATCTCAGCTCGAACTCCACCCCCCAGGGCCATCTTTCCAGACCGTCCTCATTAGTGCTGCCCCTTTAGTCACCCTCTGACCCACGACCCATTAGTCTGCTTTAATTGTCTCCTGGCACGTACCATCCATCCAAGTGATTGGCTTGCGACCTTGAGTAGTGTTGTGTCTGCCCTGGAAGTGGAAGCTGAGGACAGCAGGGCCTTGGTCCGCTCACTGCTCGATCCCCAGCTCCCAGGATAGCACCTGGTGCCCCAGAGAGACTCGTGGCCAGAGTTAAGGAATAAGTGAACAGGCATTAAGTGGAAAAGTTTCCCCTCTCTTCTCTTTTCCATGTCACTGGGTCTCGGGGCAAATTAAAACAAAAAAAACCTGTATTCCCAAAGTAGGTAGAATAATTTCAAGGGTGACTTGGCAGGTTGCTCTCACCGCACTTGGAGCGAATGTGGTTTTTTCCGCAGAATGGGCCAGAAGCCGGCAGGCCTTTGCAGACCAGAGAGGTGGCTCTCTAACAATTTGGGGGAGTTGCCCGGAAGCTCCCCATCCAAATGGACTTCACCAGCATGAGGGCTCGGGAAAAAAGACTCGTGTTTGGTGATTCTGCTCCAAGTCTGCATGACTGCTTGGTGAGAAATAGATTTGAGAGGCTGTCATTTCTTCTCAGGATAATGGAGTCAGTCTCTGAAAGTTCATTTGGCATTAAGGCAAGGC